ATTAAAAATGATACAATTGCAGCCACCATCTTCCAATAGTTTGCCAAAATGACTAACACAAAGGGCAAGAGGAAGGGAACCCGGTATATGTTTTCCAGACCTTTTAGAAAACATGGTGTTGTTTCTTTGGCCACATACATGAGAATCTACAAAAAGGGTGATATTGTATTTTATTTCTTTATTTTTCTTTCTTTCTTTCTTTCTTTCTTTATTTATTTATTGGTGGAACCTGGGATTGAACTCAGGCCCTTGCACTTGCCAGGGAAGCGCTTATTCCACTGAGCCATCTCCCCAGTCCCTAAAGGATGATATTGTAGACATCAAGGGAATGGATGCTGTGCAAAAAGGAATGCCTCACAAATGTTACCATGGCAAAACGGGAAGAGTCCACAGTGTTACCCAGCATGCTGTTGGCATTGTCATAAGTAAGCAAGTTAAGGGCAAGATACTTACCAAAAGAATTAATATATATATTGAGCAAATAAAACACTCAAAAAGTTGTGATAGCTTCTTGAAACATGTCAAGGAAAATGATCAGAAAAAGAAGGAAGCCAAAGAAAAAGGTACCTGGGTTCAACTGAAGCACCAGCCTGCACCTCCCAGAGAAGCACACTTTGTGAAGACCAATGGAAAGGAACCAGAGTTGTTAGAACCTATTCCCTATAAATTGATGGCATAAACTGGGGATGTTGCTCTTCCATTCAGTACCTAATTGTCAGCCTAAGTGTTCTAGATCCTATGTAAAAATAAAATCATCCTGTGTTGTAGGGGAGGTTTCCTTAGTTGAACAGGTATATGGTACCTTCTTACCTCAGAAGTATTTGCAGCAGATTTACACTGTACCTAGTAATTGTGTCTAGTCTTTACTCTTCAGTGTTTTTCTTGCTGAAAGATACTGCTGAGGTATTATGCAGGTATATACACAAATATTCAAATATTTATAAAATATTTATATTGGCTTAAAGATTCTGTAAATCATCATGGAGAAAAGATGTATCAAAATAAATGGAAGTCACTTTTAAAAAGAAATGATAAAATATATGAAACCTAGGGGTTCTAAAATACAAGTGTGGGTTTATCAAAGTGTTTGTACTGCCAAAGTTGGTTCGCTATTCAGTGACTTTTTGTCTTTTTGAGAAGGTCTCACTTTGCAGTTCAGGCTGGCCTTGAACTTGCAGCAATTTTCCTGCCTCAGGCCACCAAGTGTTGAGATTACAAAGTTTATTTTTAAAGAAAATTAATTTTTGACTAGTGGTGGCACATTTGGAGACATGATGGCCAAATTATATTAGTTTTTCTTTCTAAACAGTCTAACCAAATCTTTAATATTTTGTCTTTTTTCCACAGATGTTTGACACAGTGAAGCGATTAAGAGAAAAATCTTGTTTAATTGTAGCAACTACTTCAGGATTGGAATCTATTAAGAACGATGAGGTAAAGAACACTATAAAGGTGGTGACATTCCTTTCTGTGTTAGAACAAGCAGTTCTTATTAGAAAGAATCTTTATATAATGTATGTGACATCCGTTCATCTTTTATTATGCTTGTGTACTGCATGGAATAATACTTGATAAATAGTCATTAACTACAATTTCTGTATTTTATAAAAGCAGAGATCTTGATGTATAGTGAATCTCTATTAAAATACTAGCCAGGCATGGTGGCACACTTCTGTAATCCCAACACTATGAAGGCTGAGGCAGGAGGATTGCTATGAGTTCAAGGCCTGCTTGGACCACATAGTGAGTTCAGGCCAGCTAGCTTGAACTAGC